GTCTGCGTTTACATTACTTTTATTCAGTGTTCAACAGGTAGAGATAAGGGCAGTGCTGGCCCCCTGTTAATTGGCTGATGTTCATCAGAACATCTTAGGCAGCATCCTAACAAATGAGGATCCTGACAGGGCTGCTGGAGACTTGTTAGGCAGCAGCTCCGCATCCACAGGCCTTAGGCATCCTTCCAAATGCACCATAATCATAGCTTATGTTGTCCAACTGAATAGAATTCAGGCCTTAAAGTACTGGCTTCAATATTAAAAACATCTTCAACTTAGCTGATTGTATGTCCGTCTGATATATGGATAAAATGAAACTATTGAGGTATTTTTAAAGACTCACAATTTTAAAGCTTTTTCCTTAAGAAATGCTGTTGCAATAAATTATAAAATAATCATCTTTTCATTTAAAGAATAAACAGTTTTTGACCTAATCACTGAGATTGAATTATAAGATAAATATTGTACCTTGTTGTAGAATGGAGTGACTAGTATGTCATTTCATTTTAATCTTGTCATTATCTCTCAGTTGTTTAGCTGGACCTTTCATACTTTGCATGGTTACATTTGGAATAGAGTTGTGGGGTTTCCTGGGTAGTCTGTTGTTCCACGAGGGCTTGAGGTTGGTATTGAAATGGGACATCCTTTTACATACTTTGAGGTGCTGGGTGCTGCTGCTGCATGCATTTAATCCCATGCATGCAGGAGGCAGAGACAGATGAATCTCCTGAGTTGGAGGCCAGCCTAGTCTACAGAGTGAGTTCCAGGACAAGCCGAGCTGCACAGAGAAAACCCTCTCTCAGAAAGCAAACCCTCCTTTAGTCTCTCATAGGCACTACACTGGTCTTTCTAGTTTGTAGATGCTGTTATAATGTAGGTGGTGCTGTTTCCATGACCATGCTACTGGTCCCATCAGCCCTTGTTTCCTTAGCCAAGTGGTACTATACATTTTTATAACTTTTAGTAGCGGAAAGTTACTAGTTATAAATAAAAGATGTTAAAATGCTGCTTTAATTTGGTCAAATGTAATACTGGAGTTCTTTTACAATTGATGGTTTTATGGCCTATGGGTATCTGCTTACATGTGACAGACATATACGATACATAAATAAAAACCTTTTAAAAAGCCAGCTTTAAAATATTTGTGCATAATCAAAGGTAAAAGTACAGCAAAGGTAAGAAGACAGATCATGCACAAGATTACTTGTTTAATAGTGATTTTCATTGTTTGCATTCAAATTGCTTCTTTAATGTGAACAAATTAGTTTGGTGTTAAGTACTGGAAATAGTGCTGATTTTTATTTTCTTGACAGATTAACAGAACATAAATAAGCATGCAAAGTATAATAATTATGTTTTATTATAGTTTGAAAAAAATACCCTTCAGATTTGTGAGAACCATGTTTTTTTTCCTCCCCGATGTTCCCTCATCCTTGTTTACTATTTTGAACACAGAATCGACCTTCCATCTACACATAAGCCACACCCTGAATATAAAGAACGAATTCCTTCTCTCCCTCAGAAAGACCTTCTGTGCTAGGTACTTGTTCACGAAGACACTTAAAATCACCTGAATTAGCATCTAAAAATCTGCCCAGCTGTTGCAGCACACATCTGCAAACCCAGCACCTGAGAGGCTGGAGCAGGACCAGAAGCTTACAGTCAGCCTTGGCTACACAGTGAGTTCAAGGTCTGCCTGGGCTACTGGAGATCACATTGCAAAATTTGAAGTGAATAATTTTTTTTAAAATCCTATGTCATTTGTATGAATTTTTCAAAGCATTGTCATGGTCCTTTGTAACAACATAAGATTCTTAACATGTCCAAGTATCCCTCTGAAATGAGAGAGTGACCAATCAGACTTTGTGTGCAAGTTAGTAAGAAAAGTGATGGCTACTGTAAATAAGGGAATTGGTACTCCAGTGGCCTTGGAGGCTGCAGTCAGAGACTGATTGGGATGCAGTGGTGTTAACCTGGAGATTCACTGTAGAAATGGGCATCTTTTATGTGGATAAAGCCTAGAGTGCTTGAGTGTCTTTGGAATGCCGTGGAGAGCTGGCTCTGTGAGCACTGCATTTGACCTTTGCTTCTTTCCAGTGTGAAAGCACTCTCCATTTCAGCATGCCTTTATTCAGTGACAGGTGGTATACATTCCAGATTAAACTGCCATTTTCCCTGTTACACATATAGTGTCTTCAGTTCTCTGTTTCTTGGATATGCCTGTGGAATAGGCATATGTATATGTGTGTGTATATATATATATATGTATGTATGTATGTATATACACGTACATATATATACACACACACACACATACATACACATACATTTTCCTTAAAAGATATGCCTTTGATCTTTACCTTGTATCCAGTCTGAATACATAGAGCTCTTAATTTGCTCAGGACACTGGAAAGGAATGGTTCTGTGGAGACACTTTCAGTTTCTGCTCCTTTCCTGACCATATAGTCAGTCTGCTGCTAAGCAGGGATGGGGCAGGCAGGAGTGTGAAGCACCCTGCCAGGTACTGCTGTCTTATCAGAATAAATAAATAAATAAATAAATAAATAAATAAATAAATAAAGTGGGAAATAGCATGAAATGCCTACAGAACCCTTGACCAGAGCTGTTAAATTCTAGAGACATTCCTGCCTTAATCTGTGGATATCCAAACTTTGCCTTAAGAATTTTTTCCAGGATATTAATCTTAGCTTCCTTAGAAGAAGATTAATTGAATATAATTTAAGTCTTGTCAGGAAAATCAGTTTGTATATAATTTATTCTCTCTGTTTTCAAGATGTTTTTAGTAGCCTGAATTATAAACAATTAGTGGTTCAGGTCATATGTGTTGGGTTTTACAACTGTTAATATACACTATAAGACACCATATGCAAACAAAAGGAAAGTGTTCTTTCCTGATGACAAGCTGTCAGTGAAGGAGAGAGCTTTCAGAGTGGCTCAGTTTGGGAGGTAGGAGATAAATTACTCAGGTAGTAAGTAGAGTAATTGGATTGTAGTAAGGTTAGTAACAGGAATAATCCTGGGCAGAAGTGAAGAACACACTGCATAGTAGTCAAAACCTTTTGTCGAAGGAAGTTTGCTGGGAAAATACCTTGTAAACATTGAGCAGCATTGGTCCTTATGAAGTAAGCAACCAGTTAGCATTGTGATTTCCTTTTCCTCCTTCACATAAAGCAGTCAAAAGCATTAGTCAGCAATG